AGGAGCAGCATTTAGAATACAGGTCTCCTGACTTCTAGATGCATGGTCTAGCTGCAGGACTTGATTGCTTCATTCCAAAGCAGACAGTCTTCAAGTAATAACCTTTTCTAGCAACCAGAGCTTTCTAATAATAAGGATCTTCCTGAGGTGGTTGGCTCCCTGTCCCTGAAATTGTTCAGGCAGAAGCTGCTTGGTCACTTGTCAGGTTTGCCATAGAGCTCCTGCAAAGATCAGGAGCTGGAATGAGATACTTCTAGCTGTGAGAGGACCAAGACCCAAGCCATTTAATGCCCGGTTGGGGAATTAGAAATCTTTAGCCCAGAGAGGTGAGAAGACCTTGGGAAACGTAAGCCTTTGATATATCTGAAAGGGTACCATGTAGAGAAGAAATTAGACTGGTTCTGCCTGGCCCCAGAGGGCAGAATAAGGCAGGGAAGAGGAGAAATTCCAGGGAGGCGGATGACGCCTCAGTGTAAGGAAACACTACCCAGCGATGTGGTGTCCCTATGTGGGCTAGCATTATTCAGGAGGCAGTGAGATCCTGTGTTGGGGAGCAGTGGGAGCTAGGACGGCTGGCCGGGGGAGCAGATCATGAAGAGAACAGTGACCAAGCCCAGTTTGGTGTGGTGCGGAACAGGGAGAGCTTTGAAAGAGTCCTTTTGACTTTCCCTTTGAAAACTTCCTCCTTGCTTTATGCCCAGAGGCTGTACGGAACCTAGCCATTTCTGCTTATAGGCCAAAATCCTTGAGTAACAAGAACGATGTGTCTAGCAGCTAGCTCCGCGTTTGTTTTGTCTGGCTGAAATGACAAGATGTGAGGCCCACATGGGATTCCTGGGCCATGCCTTGGGGGATCCCAACAAAAACTCCCATTTCTTCCGCACTTACAGTGGTCTTCTAAGGGAGGTGATTTTCTCTGTTCTACAAATGAGGAGGTCTGGGCAAACAGAGGTCAAGTGGCACTTGCCCAGAACCATGCAGCCAGTATGTGCTCAAGTCAGGGCCACTCTCCACCTGGAGGCTTTTGCACTAGGAGCACTCTGCTGCAATCCCCACAGCCCCCCCAATGTTTCTGGCTCCTTGCTCCTGCCACTGCTTCGCAGTACTCTGGGCCTGTCCCTTTAGAACCATAACCAATCTCTGTGGAGGAGGCCTCTGAGCTATGGGGGCTAGCACTGCCGGGCATGTGACATGCCCTGAATGCCAGCCCTGTGAGGGATGCCTGAGTGGCAGCCCTGGGGCAAGGAATCTGTGATGCCTAGCCAGTGAATGTCACTGCCTGGGCAGAAAGCAGTTGGTACACATGGACTCCTGGGGTCTGAGAGGAGGGCTGGGGACAGCCCAGAGGAGACACTATGACGATGAGGAGGAGGAGGATAAATTTCATTCCTATCCTCCTTTAAAGTTTACGAAATGCTTTTCCTTACGACAGCCTTGGGGAGTAGGGGGGCAAGAGAGATGTAATTAAAATCAAGAAAGTAACTTGTTAACACAGACTTATTCAACAACTACTAACTTGCTTTTCTATTGCTTTAAGATTTACTGAATACTCTTCCCCCATCCCCAAAGGCTTTGTACACAGAAGTATTGGAGAAACATGCTGTAAGGATATAAAAGGGGGGAGGGGAAGAAATTATTCCTGCTCTCAAGGAGTTTACCTTTCCAATAAGAATGTTAAGATATGTTCACAGATAATCGTAGTACAAAATACACTGCTAAAGACAAGGGGGCAGGATCTGATCAATGTACTGTGTGAAACACAAGGTGGAAGAGATGTGGGCATTCCCTAAGCGTGGAGGGACAGGCTTCTCGAGCTGACGTGTGGAAGAACAGGCGATGAAGGCAGCTGGCCATCTGTTTGGCTGTACCATCAAGGTTCTGAAGGAATAGAATGAAATAAGACCAGAAAAAGAGATTTGAGCCAGATGACGGGAGGGCTTGTATCCAGGCTAAGGAGTTTGTATTTTATCCTCAAGATAGTGGGAGGCCATGAAGGTGTTTTGAACTGGGAAATGATATGGATTGTGTGTTTGGAAGAGTATTTTGGCAGGTTGAAGAGAATAGGTTGAAAAAGGGAGATGCTGGAGACAGGGAAATGAGAACCTTGGAGGCATATGATCCCAGACAAAAGCTGGTAAGAGCCTGAACTCAAATGGTGGCAGAAAGGGGCGATACAAGAGATGTTGCCAAGGTAGAATCAACAGGAGAGCTGTACCTTGACCATTCCCTTCTTGGCATGGCCAATATATGGTAAACTGGCTTAGCTGTTCCCATAGTAACCTGATCTTTGGGAGATAGAACTGCCCTCCAGGGAGGCAGAATCTCTCCATGTTTAGAACTGGTTCGGGCTGGTAGTTATTAACAGCTATTGCTCATGACATGTGAAAACTGAATCCATGGTCACAAAAGAGCAGTGGAGCTTTTGGCTAATGGTGAGGCAGCTGTAATCTAGTGAAAGAGAGCAGAGAACTGAAAATCCCGTCTATTTCTTGTGTAACTTTGCACAAATCATTGGTCATATATGGGCCTCAGTTTATTCGTGTGTAAACTGGGAATAATAGTATCTAGGTCACAGGTTTTTGCTTTTGGCTAAAAGCCATTGCTAGACTTAACAAGAATGAACAAGGCACACAATGAATAACCTGACATATGAAGTACATAGGATGCAGATACAAAACCAGAATTGAAAATGCTTCCTGCCAATATGTTTAACATGATTGTATATGTACAACCTATATCAGATTGCTTGCCCTCTTGGGGAGGGGATATGGGGAGGGAGGGAGAAAATGAATCTTACAGAAATGAATGTTGAAAACTATCTTTACATGTAATTGGAAAAAAATAAAATACTATTAAGTGGGGGGAAAAAAACCCAAACACTTCCTGCCCTGGAGACACACAGATTCCACTAAAGGGATACAAGATGCTTTGAGGAGGCTAGAGCATTAACAGAAAGGGCAGGAGGGGCTCTCCTTAGGAGATGTGATCAGGAAAGGCAGAGGTGAGGAGGCATTGGAACCCTTGTAGTCTTTGAAGTACGTTACAGTATTAAGAGTTTCTGAACATTAAAATGTGACACTTTCAAGGTAATTTCCTAAAAGTAATCTCCGTGTTGATTTAATTATAATGTCTAAAATAACTTGATGCACAGACAGCGCCAAAAATGAGAACTAAACAGATTTTCAAAGTCACATGCCCTGTTTCAGTAACTAACTTCTCCAGAATTTATTTTGAAAGAATAGATTTTTTTCATTGATGCTTTGCTCACAGCAGTCCTGTGAGATAGGTAATGTAAGTATTTATTCTCATTTTATGGGTTGAGGAAGTTGGATCATCGAATACAACAGAATTGTCCAAGGTCACAATGATTAAATCTAAGACTGAAATTTGATGATGCTGCCACCACCAATTTTAAGGCCCGTGCACTTCTGGGCTAAGCTTCTCCAAGTTGAAACTGTCCTGCAAGGAACTTTTAGCAAAACAACTCAGGCTGATGTGGCCTATTGTTTTAGTCTTCATCAAAAGTTATAGGACTTAAAGGAGACTTCACAAAATGATTAGGCCAGTTATGTGCAAAGCAATAGGACTTTATTCAGGGAAGGCCTGAGAACTAAACAGAATCCTGGAGGGCAGGGTAATGAAGGGAATGAAGGGGGCAATGAGGGAGTTGAGCTTCAGAACCTTAAATGCAGTGGTTCTTAGGCCATGGCAGGAAGAGGAAAAGGGCTGTTTTGTGATGACCATTCGGAGAGGCCATCCTTGGACTTAGCATACTCATTCCCATCATGCTCTGTCACTCCTGATCTGTGTGTGCAACATCTGACTGCAGACACCCCTGAGACTATGGAGAGCTGATTTAGTGGTAGGTTCCCCATCCCCGTCACAGGCAGGGAGATGCTAGAGACTGGCTTAGGAGCCCTGGTTCAGTCAGGGAAAGCATCACAGGCCATGCAGAAAGAAAGCATGTGTATGCAGGAGAGGCAGCCGGCTTGTAGGTAAGCCCCGGAGTTCTATCCTGCCCTACCTTCCCAGACAGCTAGGTGGCGCAGTGGAAAGAGCACCCGGCCCTGGAGGTCAGGAAAACCTGAGTTCAAATGCAGCCTCGTATTTAATAGCTACATCATCCTAGCAACACCTGTCTTACCTCATTTTGCTCACCTGTAAAATGAGGATAGTAATAGCACCTACCTCCCAGGGTTGTTGTGAGGATAAAATGAGATAATTATTGTAAAGCGCTGTGTAAATGTCAGCTATTATTACCTCCCAGATTAAAAATAATTTTATTAAATGATATTTTATATAGTGCTATTTGAGAATCCAAACCTGTGGCTATCCTGATATAGGGGATCTCCTGGTGAGGAAAATACAGATCCGCTGTTGCTTTGAAGGTGACAGTTCTGAATTGTTACCTAGGGCTCTAGGACGTGCCCACAGTCACTTGCTGTGCCTTGTGGTTTACAAAATGCTTCATTTTTTTTTTAATTTTGCTAGGCAGTGGGGTTAAGTGATGTGCCCAAGGTCACACAACTAGTAAGTGTTATGTGTCTGAGGCCAGATTTGAACTCAGGTCCTCCTGACTCCAGGGCCGGAGCTCTATCAACTGCTCCACCTAGCTACCCCCATATTTTCTCATCCAAGCCCACATTATCTTGTTGGATCCTCACAACAACCCTAGGAGATAGATAGCATAGATGAAGTCACCATTTTGCCAGATGAGGAAGTTGTGGACCTGAGAGAGGGGAAGTGACTTTCCTACAGTCACCAAGCTTTATAAGTACCAGAGCCAGAGCTGGAGCACAGACTGCCTGTTTCCAAATCCAAGACTTTTTCTGCTACATGAAAAAATTTGAAATACGGATGTGAAAACACTTTTCCAAAGAGTCTGTAGCCAGAAACTGCAGTGCTTAAATTCCTATGTTCAGGCATCAGTGCAGATAGACTTGTGTCTCTTGTGCCTTTGTGTGGGTCTCACTCCCCTCTCCTGCTTTTCTGATCTGCAGCCTCCTGTCCAAGATTCTGAGTGAGTGCAAGGATGCGGACGAGATTGAGTATCTGGTGGATGGTTCCTGGTGTCCTATCCGAGCCGAGAAGGAGCGGAGCTGCAGCCCCCAGTGCCCGATCCTCGTCCTTGGTGGGTGAAGTCGGCAGCAGGCCAGCCACCTGGCCACGTGTGGAAGCCTTTGGTTCTGTGGCCTTGTGCTGTTGAGGAGAAGCGGTCTGTCCATTCGCACGGCATGTTTCTAGGGCATCTGTGATACAAGCTGCTTCTCCCCGGAGAGCAGCGCCCGGGGCCCTTGGACCTCCCCAGAAGCCTCCCCCCCCCTCAGAAACTGCCTTCTCTGCTCGGCTGGTCAGAGGCAGAGCTGTGGAGGGGAGGCCCAAATGGCCTTGTCTCCCTAGCACCAGGGTGAATGAGCCGAGGAGGCCTTAGAGTACGCCTTGAAATGACTGAGGGGCTGGGAAGAGGATTATTAGCAAGTAAGAGAAGGGAGAGCAAGGGAAAGGGGAAAAGTCAGCTAACCCCAGCAGATCTTTGCTGCGTATTTCAGAAGGTCTGATTTGTCTTGCTCTCTATTCAAATCTGTATGTTTACCAATTCCGTAGTAACTGGAATGTTTCCTCCAGAAAGGGCAGGTTTTAGTTAACTGAGAAGTAATTAGAAAACTTGTATCTGTTTCAACGCTTTGTGTGAAAACTCTGCTCAAACCTGTAGGGTTATGTTTCCCAAGAATGTCCCTGATTGTTATCTTTAAGGGGTTGTCATTCTGAACATCTGCAATCACCTTCTAATCCTGAGACGGTGCCTCAGTATCCCTATCTGTAAAATGGGTGGATTAGATTAAATAATTCCGAAGACCTTTTCCAACTCTGAATCTCTGACTCAGGTTTGGGAGACACACTAGGACCTTTAAAAATATTAATAAATCCTTCCTATTAGCATACTTTCTTTTTTTTTTCCACCCAAAACTTTTATTACAGGAAAAAAAACCTCAGTTGAATATTCTGCTTAATTTGAGATTTTATAGTAATCATTAGCTGTGTCTTAATTGGGGTTTGAAGGCATTTGAAGGTTAGCTGGTATGTGAAGCAAAGGAAATATCAAGGAACTCAACTTCTTGGTGCAGGCCTGTGGGCTTTCTTTGACATGTAAAACACCCTGGCCCTTTCTTTTCAGGATCCTCGGATGTGAATGGGCTTTTACCCACCCCCAATGGGAACAGTGAAAACGGGAAGCCAAGTGCCGATGTGGTGGACCTCACACTGGACAGCTCATCCTCAGAAGAGGAGGAGGAGGAGGAAGAGGAAGAAGAAGAAGATGAGGAGGAGGAAGATGGCCCCCAACCCAAACGCCGCTGCACGTATGAAAAAGGTCTAGTCTCCGCCTGCTGACTGGGGCCTGGAGCGAGCATTGTCCTCTGGGGACAGACTTGAATACTCTGGTGCTTACAAAACTGGGAGGGAGGCAGGTTGGTTGGGGGCGAGGGGTGTGGAGGGAGGAGGGATTTTTTTCCCCAACCCCTTACCCCATTCTTCCTCTTCAGTTTCTTTGGACTTTACTATACAAAGCTAACAATTAAAAAACAAGCAAACAAAACACACACCACACACACACACACACACAGCAACAAAATTGAGCTGCTTCCCAGTTGGAAAGAAAAAAATTTGAGCCTGGAGGAAGGAGTGGGGCACCCAGGTTGGTTTATTGGGTCCCATTGAGTCCACCTTGCAGTCAGCATGGGAGGCAGTTGCCCAGGAAGAGACTCCCAGCCCTGGCGAGCCATCCCTCCCTGCCTCTGAGCCCTCCCTCCCCCCATCCCAATTGACCATGTCTCCATTCCAGGCCATCTCCAAAGTTCCATGCATTTCTCTCTTGTTGAATTAACCATTCCTGACTGTCTACATGCCTTGCTGGGTCTTTGGATGATTGGGGAGGGATAGGGGCGGGGATGGGACTATGGCGGCTGATGGAACCTAGCAAGGTTTGGGGAGGGGCACTTTGTGGGGAGTTTGGGGAGGGCTTGGGGGGGAATGGAACGGGGATGGGGGCAGGGAAGATATAGAATTCCTGAGACAAGCTGTTCCTTCTGGGGAACACCCACGGCTCTGCACCTCATGGAAACAAACACCCATTTTTGAAACCTTTTAATCAAATCTGAAGATGATGTAGAATTTCTTCGTAGTGAATCATTTTAGTTGAGAAGAAGCCATGGTGAGGGGTCGGGGAGGGAGGTTGTGAAGGGTGGGGGAGGGGGAAGGGTTTAAGCCACAGAGCTGTTGTATTTCTGAAAGTGCAATAACTTGGCATTTTGAAGACAGAAGCACGTAGACAAGTTTCCCTTTGGAAGGAAGCTTCCATGGTCAGTGGGAGGCTCCAAGGTGACCCTGCCTCTTTGGACCAACCCACTGGGATGGAGGAGAGCAGAGGGGGAGGGGTCAGGTGGGGGGCAAGGTGGGGAAATGAGGCCCTTCAAGAATGCCAGGTGTGGAAATTCTCAGTTTCTAGCCAGCTACCTCGGTAACTCCAATTCAGGTTTATTTCAGTACTAAAACAGTGCAGACACCCACCACCAACTCTGTCCCTGTGCTGCGGGGACAGGACAGAGGGGTGGGGTTGTCGGGGAGGGAAGTAGCCACAAGTTTTTGGACTTCTCTGTGCATCTCTCTCTTTCTCTCTCTCTCTCTCTCTCTCTCTCTCTCTCTCTCTCTCTCTCTCTCTCTCTCTCTCTCTCTCTCTCTCTCTCTCTGTCTCTCTCTGTCTCTCTCTCTCTCTCTCTCTCTCTCTCTCTCCTGCTCAGTACTCTTGTCCTAAAACAGAAGCCAGCGACTTACTGTTGAGGGTAGAGGGAGGAGAAAGGGGGGGCAGAAGAGGGTTTTGTTTTGTTTTGTTTTGTTTTTTTAGTTTTTTTGGTGTTTGGGGGGGAGGGAGGGTGGGGTTTTGAGTCTACAGGCAGTTACAGGTTTCCCTCACAGTAGGAATATTGTTGGAAACTCTTCTTGCTGAAATCTGGCTGACTTTGCTTTCCAGAGCCTGTCCTGGAGGTGGGACTTTGAGGGTGGGGGTGGGGGGGTCAGAGAGGAGGGAGATCTGGGGCTGCCCAATTCTTCCCTGCTTCTTACCACTCAGGTTGCCTGGAAACCAAATGCGATCAGGTGTGGAAGGTTCTTGTTCCAGGCTGGCTTTCTCTGGGCGCCCAGCAGCTGAACTCCTCTGTTCCAAGGCAGGCGTTCTGCTCTCCAACACCTGGCATGTTTCCTGAGCTGGAGTAACCAAGTCAGACACTGGTCTAGGGTCTTCCTTGTATGTCTTCCTCCTCTCTCCTCTTTCTCACTGGGAGGTGAGGAGCAGGTCTCCAGATGCTACTCCCTACTCCTCTAAAAGCCCAATGCTTAAGTAGCACTTTCAGATGCCTGTGTTAGGAAGTTTGGGGGGTGGGGAGAAGTGGAGGAAGGGAAGTGATGCATCTAAAATAACTCCAGCAACCTAAAGCCATCCATCTGCCTCCCCTTTTCCCTTTTCTCTTACTGGAATCCTCATCTAAATGGATACAATGGGGCTGGGGAGGAAGCATATGGGAGACCAAGACATTGAGAGTCCTGGTGAAGGCTTTCAGGAGACCCAGTGCTGCCAGGGCCATCCTCTGTCCTGATCTAATCTCATGTGATTGGGGGTGAGGGGAATAGGACTGGATGTGACCCACCCCCACCCACAGGCTGGGTGCTGCCAATAGGAGGGGCCTTTCCTCCCAATCCTCTGATGACTCACCCCGGAAATACAGATGGGGAGGGTAGAGGGGATATGCTGGTTCCTGTTGGGATTTTACTCACCCACCCCCAAAGCTGGGCAGAGATCCCCACCCAGCCGCTGAACTGTCACAAAGGGCACACTGGGGACCTTTGGAGTGGCACTGAAATGTCCAGGGTTTCCCCAAGGTGGGAAGGGAGAGCCTTGGACCTGATTTCCACCTATTTTCACGGTTTTCTTCATTTCCTTTTCCCTCCAGTCCTCCCTGCCTTTTTTCCATACCCAGAATAATTTTCCTTTATATAAACAACTCTCCTAGCAAGGAAGCAATATCATTTCAGGTAACAATGGGAAATGTGGTAGAGCTCCAATTAAGTTTTACTGTATAAAACAGGTTGCTCAGCTTGACTCCTCGGGAGCACGGGCAGCTCATGTCCAATTTTTTCTAATATTTGTATCCTAATTTAATTGTTTTTTAAAAATGAAAATAAAAAAGGTCTAGGCCAAGCCACTTAGAAACATCATGATTCAGTTCCTGGTTTGGGTTGATTTTTTTGGCCAGCTGTTCTGTACATATGTTTTCTTATATTCTCATTTTGTTTTTGTAAAGAGAAAAAAAAAGGAAAAAAAAACCAAAATATTTTTCTTTCCCTTCCGTACACATTCTTCAGAATTCAAAAGTATAGTGTTTTGTTAAATAAAAAGATTTACATTTCGAGGCCTGTGCCCACTGTTTCCGGCTCAGAGGTGTGGGGTGTGTCTCTTCCACAGCAGGGCAGGGAGGGGACTTCTGGACCTTGCCCAGAAAGCGCTGGGCCACTCTGCCGGCAGTCCTAGTCCAGTGGCTGCAGTGAACTGGAAGCTGGGAGGTTGGGAGGGTGGTGGAGCAAACCAGGGTTGGGTCTCCAGCACCCACAGCGGTCTCTGCACAGAGACACACACATGCACTCTTACACTCATACACTCCAGTGGGCCACCTTAGGCATCAAAGACCAGCTTTTGATGCTCCAGGCTTCTGCTGTTTCACCCTTTTTCTCAGGTAGGAGGATGGAGTAGCTGAAAGGTAACCAGCCCTGCCTAAAGGCCTCCGGGTGCTTAGCACAGCCTCTCCACCTGTGCTTGGCACAGCTGCTTGGCACCAGGCCGGAGGGTCTCCATGTCCTTGGATTCTGGAGGCCTCGGTTCCAGCCCTAACTAGTTGTGTGTTCTGGAACAAGTCTAATTTCTGGTTTCTTGGTAGACTTGTTTCCTGGTTGAACTAGATGTACTTTTAGTTCTAATGTTCTTTTATGTTTTAAGGCCCTTTCTATCTCTAATCTTTGTGGGTCAGATCTATCTGGGTAAACTAGAGGAAAATGGTACCAGTCTTAGGGGAGATTTGGAAAAACCAGATTGTTCCTAGAGCAGACTGCATTTAGCTCCTTTTGCCCCCAGCCTCTTGTCCTTCCCATTTTCTCTTCAGATGCAAGATAGCTCCTTGATTAAATTTCTGAACCTTGAGCTTATTTAGTCATTTTATATATTAAGCTTAAGGGTCAGAGCCCCAGCCTGAAGCCCAGATGAACACTACTTGGCAAAGACAAGCTAGTTTGTCCACACAATTAGCAAGCCCTTTAATTGTGCACTCATCACCATGGGTTTGTTGGGTTTTTTCCCCAATCCCTGTCTCCACAAGAGCCCTCACCTTTCTCTGCCCTGGTAGAACTAGCTCTGGGCATCTGCTGTCCTTGCCATTCAGCCCACGGACATAGAGCTCAGAGTGGTGAGGAGGCAACTTGGAGTTTGCTTCGTCATTGACGACCTGCTGTCTGACAAGGGGAAGCCATCACAGGCCTATCCTCTCATTTTGGAGACAGAAGGCCCTTCAGCTGGAGTTGGGGCACCTCCAGACCTCCTAGACAAGCCACAGTCTTAAGTAACCTCATCTCTGCTCCCATCTTGGCTTCCCCAGACAAGAAACTCCAACCCAAAGACCTTTATCAGTGGATCAAGGACAATGTATCTTTCCTCAAAAAGCTGACGAGTTGTGTATGTCACCAACACCCCAGTTCAACTTGGGGAAGAAGACTGCCTCAGAGGAGGGAGGAAAGCATTTCTCGGGCTTTAATCTAGCACCAAAGCCCATGCACCAGCCAACAGAAGAGGTAGAACGACAAAGGGCTGCCTAAACATGTCCTGTAACCCACCCCTCTGCCACTATCCTGACTTGTTAGTCTTCGGATGAAAAGAACCAGGGTCCAAAAGCAGCTTGGACTTCTCTCCCTCCAGGTCCAGTGTGGCAGAGTGGAAAGAACTGGGATCTGAGAGGCAATCAGAGTCTAAGCTCTTAACAGTTACGCGACTCCTGACAAGTCACTTCTAACCTCTGGGCCTCAGTTTCCCCATTTGCAAAATGGAGATAGTACTTGTCTCCTGGACAAAATGTAAGCTCCTTGAGGGCAGGGACTTTTTTTTTTCTTTGTATTTCCAAGTACCTGAAGCAGTGCTGGGCACATAGTAATAAATGCTTAATAAATGCTTGTTGCTTAACTGATTGATGCTTGCACTACCTCCCTCACAGGATGGTTGTGAGGAAAGTATTTTGTAAATATAAACAGAACTTCCTTGGCTCCCACTCCCCACCCTTCACATCCCCTGGAAGAAGAGCTGGTCGAAGAGCGTGTCACCCAACATGTCCCTGAAGAAGGGTGTTGTCAAGGCTGGGGGAAGTGGCAGTGGAGAGGCCACGTGCACACCATCCATCCGCCCTGCTGGAGCCCAAAGCTCTTCCCAGGTGGGGCCCATGCGAGTTTCGGGGCTGGGTCTGCCAAAGTAGTTAGAAGCTCTTCGACGACTCACTGTAATGGCAATTTCAACCTCTGTTTGGAGAAATGAGGAGACTGGAAAAGATGTGTCTCAACGGTCTTTCATAATTGGAGTACTAGGTCTAAGAACTTCACTCCTGTTGCTTGTGCCCTTGGTTATATCACTTTTTCTAAACTTGTTTTCTCCTGCGTCAAATAATAATCCTTTGCTGCTCAGTCGTTTTCAGTCTGATTCTTCACGACCCCATTTCAGGTTTTCTTTGCAAAGGTACTGGAGTTGTCCTCCAGCTCATTGTTCAGGTGAGGAACTGAGACAGTGAAGTGATTTGCCCAGGGTCACACAGCTTATAAGTGCCTGAGGCCAGATTTGAACTTGGGAACATGAGTCATCCTGACTTCAGGCCCGACACTCCATCCACTTCATCACCTAGCTGCCCTATAAATGCTACCTTAAAGGATAATGTAAGTGGGTGGAAACTGGGCTGGGTGCAGAGATGAGAGACCAATCTCCTCCCTCAGTGGTTCCTGCAGAGATGATCCCTCAGCCCCTCCACGGCCAGAGAAATTGCTGACATTTCCTTAGCACTTCATTAATGGTTTAAAAAAAAACACTTTCTTTAACAACAATGCAGTGGGGCAGAGAAGCACCTCCATTTTACAGATGAGGCCCAAACATAGAGCTTGTCAAAAGGCATGGGTAGCAGAGATTGAATCTGAACCCGTCTTACAACTCCAAATACAGGGTGTCCAAAAAAAGTCTAAGTTCAGTTTTAAGCTATCGGAGCTTAAAACCATACCAAATGCAGCGTGCTTTCCACCACACGAGACCGCTGTTAACAAGTCTGTATCCAGTGGGTTCAGCGTGTCCACACAGAGGAAGGGGTCCAACAAGCCAGAACACCTAGCTCTTGCCCTTGGGTTTATTCATGGCTTAGCTCTACACAACCCACCCAGAAGGAACATTTCCTGATGTGAATCACAAGGATCTAAAACATCGAAAACTGCTGCAGTACCAGAGCTGCTTGACAACCGTGTGGCCTTGGATACATGACAACCGCTCTGGGCTGGTTTCCTCTGTAGATTGGGAGGTTGAACTATATGGCCTTAAAAGTCTCTTCTGGTTCTAAATCCTATGAGTTTAGAAGGGCCCCAACACACCCTTTAGTGCATCCCCCTGTAAATCCTGCTATACGCAGAGCTGTTAAAAGCACCAGGAATCCTTAGCTAGGCTGCTAGGAGAAGGTATTGCTATGAGCTGACCTTCAAGTGTGGATAGGATTGGAAGAGGGTCCTAGAGATAACAACTATAGGAACAGCAGGTGGCAGCGGCAGAGAGGCAGGTTTGGTCTTGATGTGTCCTCACTGCAAGTGCTCAAAGAGGCTGGGTCACCATTTGTCAGTGATGCTGCACAAGGGGTTGTCGTTCAGACCCAGATTGGCCTGGATTGCTTGGGACCCTTTTCAATGCAACCTCTGTGACTCTGAAAGAAGGGCTATGATGGGGAACGAGGGATTATCTGCCCTAGGTCACTCAATAAAAGTGTGGAAACAAGGGCTCATGATCTCTTTTCATCCTCATCTCCTGCTGAATACACTCTAGCATGTCAATACCCGCTGTGAAAATGGCATAAAGTCAGCATCCCTATGTCTTCTTCTCTTCCTTCAGGGTGGCCCTGCATTATCACTGCTTCCCCATCTCCTGCCTGGGCTGCTGAGGCCACTGGCCCCTCTAATTCCCCTCTAGGGTTGCAATTAGCTGCATCACCTCAACCCCTTTCTTTCTGACACCATCTTTATCTTCTATAGCTCAAAGGGGAACCCCTGCCCCCACCTCTGATTCTGAAGGTGGTCCTGAATGCCTGGAACTCAATGTGATGAGAGATCTGACTTGCCCTCCTTCCATCCATGATGATCTCAGCTTGTCTCTTTTTTTTAAGGGTGTAGGGATGGAGACCAGTGTCAGAACTCCCATAATTGAGGCACAGGCTCAGTGTAGACCGCTGCCCTCAGCATGCAGGGCCTTACTCTTGGGCGAGAAAACGATTGGTCCAATTAAAAGTACTATGGTTTCATCTCATCCTTCCTTCCTGTCTGGCCTAGAGGTTTGGGCAGAATATCCTGCCCCAAATACTACCAATCCTTGCAAACAATTATACAGCCTCACTCCTAAGGTGTCCAGGTAGGCAGCAGGCTGGCTTGTAAAGGTGAAGCCTTGCACTGTTCAAATCAGAAGACTTGGGTTGGATGCATGGCCCTGCTGCTTTCTAGCTAGGTGTCACTCTTCTCTTCTGGATTCCTCAGTTTCCATATGTGTAAAATATGGCTGAACTAAATGGTCCACAAAAGTACCTTTAAACTCTAAATCCTGTCAATCTCCAAGCTAGTCTTAGCTAAGCAATGACTGGCAGAGGCCCCAACAGAATTTTGCCTCCTTGCCTTAGGTAAGAGATGGCTCTGATGTAGCCAGAAGTCTGGGAATGTTAGGGCTGGAAGGTGGAAGGTGCATTTAGAGCATGGGCACACACACACACACACACACACACACACACACACACACACTCACTCACTCACTCACTCACTCACTCTCTCTCCCCCTCTCTCCCCTCCAATCTCACTCCAATCTCCATGACATGCCCAGCACCAATCCTAGTGGTGAGCTTGGTCCTTTCCAAAGAGCACAGATGGCAGCCATGCAGCAATGAAGTCAGTAGATAGTTGGGAAGGAAGAGGTGAGATGAAGTCCTCTGACTTCTGCAAGGCCCTATGGGTGGCTGCCAATTCATTTTAATCACCTGGCCAGTTCTCCCCTGGGAGTTTCCCAAAAGCCCGTGGCCTACTTTCCTTCTCTGCTAAGTACTCCCAACAGCCTGTGATGAGACAGCTCAGGACTCAGAAGGATGCATTAGGGTCCTCTCTCTCCCCCACCCCCGCTCCCACCCAGAGATGAGCCCCCAAATCTCCTTTCAGCCTTAAAAACTAGGAGGCTTATGACACAAGCTAATCCTTCAGTGTGGTCCCTGTCCTTGGGGGTCAGGGCAGGTCAACCAGTGAGGTGGCGGCAATTAGCATTAGTTTAGGGAGGGCCAGGAGACAGTGTTGCCAATCCAGACGCTGGTCTCCGAGGGCCTGACCTTGCTTCCCCGCCTCTGCAGAGGAGCCTGTGGGTGAGCCTGGAAGAGAGGACCTGATGGCAGCTGGGCTTTAGGATGCTGGTTACAAAGTTCAGGCGCTACCACACGCTCCATCGCCATCCCCAACCTCAATTCGCTGTATTGTTGGGCCAGTCCCCAGACTGAACGCTAAGAGAGCTTCCACCTCTTAACATCCTTCGGCCATCCTCCTTTTATCATAGCATTTCTAGCCTTCACTCTCTACACTTACCATTCCCTCCTCTATAAAACGAAGCATTTAGACTGGACAGCTTCCAGAGTTCCTCTGGCCCTGACGTTCTATGTTTTAGTTCGGTGACTCTACAGAGGTACTGCTTTTATCCTGCTCCCTATCTGCCCCAACCCCAAGACTATTTTTATCCCTTGATCTGAGGTGCCCACAGCGTCTACCATTTGAGGACAGCTAGTTGGCACAGTGGCTGGAGTTCTGGGGCCTGGAGTCAGGAAGATGAATTCAAATCCAGCCTCAGATATTTCCTAGCTGTATGACCCTAGGCAAGTCACATCACCGCTGACTGCCTCAGTTTCCTCAATTGTAAAGTGGAGATAATAACAGCCCCTTCCTCCCAGGGTGGTTGTGAGGATCAAACGAGATATTTACAAAGTTCCCGGAACACAGTGGATGCCTAATAAAGGCTTGTTCCTTTTCCCTTCACAGAGCTCCCTAGCTTCTGCCTTTTTGGAAAGCAAACTTAAAGCGTGGAGAGTCAGAGCCTAGCGGCGCCAGTTGCATCCTCTCGAGACCTACCCGGTTTGGCTCTCTGGGATCTGGAGAGAGAGGAAGCGAAGAGGAGCCTGGGCACCACAGCCCCCATTGTAAGCTCGAACTCAGTTCAGCTCTGGGGTAGGGAGGAATGTTCTCTATTCCTACGTCTACTGGCCAAGGCCACGAATAGGCCCAGGGGGTGGTGAGCAGCCAGGTCACAAAGAGACTGTGACTGGGCCTGAGAGCCCCTCAGTGGTCTTCTGTCCCCCACCCCCCATATCTCCTCCCACTCTGGTCCTATCATTTCTCTCTCAGGCCAATGATGGCGGCACCTCAAGAGATGGTGAGAGGTCAGACTGAGCTGGACTCCCTCTGGCGCCAGTCAGTGCCACCTGTCATTTTGAATACCTCATCCCCCAGGGTCTGGGGAAGGGTCAGGAGGGAAAACTGAGCCCAAAGGACTCTAAGAGGCCACCTTGTCCAGCCTTCTGTCTTCAGTCATTTATCACCAACCCTAAGGTCAATAATAGGCCAAGGAGTAAGGAGATCAAAGGTTTGCTTCCTGGCTTAACTCAATAAGCATGTATTAAGTGCCTACTGTGTGCCAGACAGCATGGTAGGCCCTAGAGGTACAAAGACTCAATGCTAGTCATGTGACTGAAAAAAATCACTTCTTAGGCCGTTTCCTCATCTATAAAATGGGCACGATATGAATATCTGCAGGCTTGTTTGCTAGGACGCCATTTTAGAAATTACAAAGCGCTCTGATAAACTGTGCAGGGGGTGGAGGAGCCACAGGCCATCTTTTTGCACCTCTGCCCTTGGTTGGAGGGGTCCAGTTCCCATTCTCTGGCACGGGCATGTTTACTGAACTAAGGTCAAACTAAACGAGTGAAGCAGCTGGGCATGAGGAAGTGGAGCCATCGTGGGAGATGCCCACCTTCCCACCCATCAGTCCAAAAGGACAACATGATATATAGACTGTGGAAAGTACAATTGATCCTGTTTGTTCTGAGTCACCAACCCATCCCGCACCAAAGCAGAGTCAAGTACCATGTGGGGCTCCCCAATCCTCCCCACCCCCATATTGCCAGTCCCCAGGGGCTCAGGACAGCTGCGGATAGACAGGAGCTGCCAAGAGTGAGGCACCTCCCTCCTTCCGCCCTACGCCCCCCAGTGTCACCTCCTGGGGAAGATGTGGCTTTCCTGGGGCGGGAAGGAAGATCAATGCCATGGCAGGCCTCTGTTCCATGTTGTGGCATTGCCCTCCATTCCACCCTACCATGAACCCTTCCCTGATCCTGGAAGGATTCTTATCAAAACTGGGAGGAGGCAGGCCACTAAAGTGGGATCGATTCAGAGACACAAAAAGGCCCAGAGAAGTTGCCCTCCCATCCGATAAAGGATCTATTCCGGCAGATCCAATCCTGGTCCCCAAAACCTTGACTGATTCTCCAGCCTGGAACGTGAATGGTCCAGGGAAGAGAACGCAAGGGAAGACGAGGGCCTTCTGACTTCATCTCCTTCCTGGGAGTTTTGTGCACGATCCTCCCCCCATAATATTACGAAGCAGAAAAGTTCCCCAGCACCCCAAAACCACCCCCTCCCCCCACACCCACAGGAGAAAGCAGAATGAGACAAAGGACGCAACCAACAGGGGTGTTTACAGCTGTTTTTAGTGGTCTTTATATACAAGAAAAATGAATGTTTTGCGTTTCATTTTTGTCCTTTTTTTGGGTTTTTAAAATTATTTTTAAAGCCCCCCCTCCCCCAAAAGTGCATTTTAATCCATTTCTTTTTTCTCCCACACGTTATAAACACTCAGATACAGTCCATGGAATGTCTTCTCTGTGCTTGAATCTGCTGGCTGGGAACCCCACCAGACCCCAGGGCTCTGAACCCCACTGACCACCTTGCCAACCCCCCTTCCTCCACTGTCAAGAGGAAGGGATCGGCTGGAAGCTCTTCTGTGCCTCTCCCCCCTCCACACAGCCACTCCCCCACACGCCCCAATAAAGTTTAAATCTGTATATATAGATATAGAGAGAGCTCGGCTCGGCTCTGGGGACTCAGTCGTCAGGCAGACGCTATGCTCCCCCAGGCTCAAGCCGGGCTCAGCCGCACGCTTCCTCTGCTTAAATAACTCTTTAAAATAAACTGCAAATATAAATATCTTTCTTTCTTAAAAAATAGTTTTCTATTCTCCAATCCGGCTGCCTGAACAGTCTGAACTCCGGAGCTGGGGAGCTCACGGCTGGGCAAGGAAGCGTCTGGGACTGGGAGCCGGGGAGGAATGGCTTCCCCAGAGTACAAAGACTCCTCCCCTGCTCCTCACCTCCCTTCTCCCTGTCACCTCTGAGTGCTTCCGTCCTCCTCTCTCTTGCCCTCAAGTCCCTGGGTTGAACCTTTCCTCCATGCTGACCTCCAAGCCTTGGCCATGTGCAACAGAACCACACTCCCTTCGTGGTCAGTGGGTCTAATTAGTGCAAAGAACAATACCCCAATCCTCAACCCCCCCCCCCAAGGTACCTCTGTCCCAGAAGCAGGGTCTTTGCCCAGCTCTAGTCCCACTCTGGCCTCTGGGGGGTGGAACGGTAGGGGCCCCCCACCCCCAGCAAGGAGGGGAGTTAAAGGGACAGATGCAAGAAGCTTGGTTACAAAGGTAATTGAGAGGGTTGGGGGGGGTTAAGTTTGTGGAATGGCTGTGGGGACCCTAAACATGGAGGCAGGGCCGGGTATCCCTGACGGGACCAGGTGTCAGGAAGCCTGTAGGCCTCCTGGGCCTGGCCCTTGGCTGTCCCCCGTCCCTGCCCATCCTCAGGCACTCTGGCCTGATGAGGGGACAGCATACTTTGGTACTAGTGCCTGACAGAGCCCGCGGACCGCCAGGTCAGCCAGTGCAGAACCCCTCTCTTCGTCCTGCTCCTGCCCCTTGTCCGTCACATTACATTCACTGGTTCCTGTTTCAAATAGTATTTCTGCATGGTCTTGGTGAGTCTATCTTTTTAATCTCAGAAGGAGAGAGGAGGGGAGAAGCAGCATCAGGAACATGGCCAAGCCCCTTCGTGCCCCTCCCCCAGCCGTGAGCGCCCCTCTGGCTGACCCTGTCTGGAGACACCAGCAGCAGGGGAGGGGGGAGTTCCTTTGGACAGGGCCTCCCCCGCATCCCGCTGGGCTTGGTCCCGAGAGCCCTGGCTCCTGGGAAGAATGTCCGGTCCCCTGGGGCCCTGGCCCACAGCGAGCCCTGGCCCAGTAGCGGACGCACAAACACGGCTTCACCACGATGGAAGGAAGGAACAATTCTGTCTTGTTGCTGTCATTTAAAAACAAAACCATGGAACAAATCAATTTCGCTGTTTCTGTTGACGCATCAGCATGTTCCCCACCACCGCCACCACCACCACCACCACCACCACCACCACACACACACTTTGCTTTTCTGTGGTTTTTTTTTCCTGAAATGCAATAATTCTTTGGCAACACTTTATCACAACCTTAATTTAAAAATAAAAATAAAATCAATCCAGGTTTATATACACTATGTGAATGAGCAGGGAGAGCCGGGCAGCCTGTCTGAGGTCCCATGCACAGGGAAGGAGGTTAAGGCAGAACGGGCCTAGGGACAGGAGGTTCACAGGAGGCGGCGGACGGCGGGCGCGCAGGCAGGCAGCGGGAGAAGAGGAGCTGGGTTTTGGTGCAAACCTTTTTGAGGCTTGTGTTAAAGTGTTGCCTACATGTCCTATCCCCCTCCCCCCTCCTAACTGAATGTCGTCAGCAGATGAAGGGGTGGTATCTGTGTTCCCCAAATGCAGCTGCCCACCAGGCACTGCCAGGATGAGGCAGGCTCTGGGCCTACAGAGACGCTTCAGCTGGGAAGTAGCTTTGACTGATTTTATTGCTGAGGGGCCCCAGGAAGGGAGGAGGGGGAGGTCCTGAGGTCGCACCTGGGGAAATGTTCCCCAGAAATGCCCCTCTCTGCTCCCCTCCCCCTTGCTGGGGAGCCTGTCTCTCCTCCCTCCCTGGAGCAGATGGTGATTCCAAAATAGCTCACCCTGTGATTTTTCAGGTGTGAAATCGGCCAGGCTGAGGCTGGGAGGGGCAAGAGTCGTCAGCCGATGCTGGGCTCCAGCTCCCGCTTTGGGGGTGGAAGGATGAAGTGAGGGTCCCTGCCCTGCCTGCCCTGTCTCAGGGCCCCTGAGACATAGGGCGAGGGCAGGACTTTTTAAAGCCACCTTCTATGAAAACTTCCCTTTTTTTTTTTTTAAACTTCTCAAAGGTATGCAGAGAAAGGGAAGGAGGGAATCCAGAGATGGGATGCTGGCAGCTGAAGCTAAGGAAACAGATACCACCACTTGGGGGCTTTACCAGAAAGAATTCCAAAGTTGCGTCTATTTACAAGTCCGCACCGGGTTTTTGCATATGTGTGAGGGGGGCCAGTGCTAAGCAGAGGTACCCTCTAGGAGTACAGGAGTTAGAGTGGCCAGGGCACAGGGCCCTCTCCCTGCTGGCCAGGGATCGGGGGTGGGGCAGAGCCAGAAGCCTTGGGGGTACCCCAAAAGCCTCTCCTCCCAGGGAACTGCAGAAACCCCTGGGAGGGGGGAAATGGGGACCAGGGCTATGCTGACAGGTGAGAACTCAGATAGACCTGTCCATGGAGCCTGGTGAGGTCTGGTCTCTGGAAGATGTTGCCCCCAACACCATTTCCCCATTCATGGCCTAAACAGGATGGGCATCCCAGGGAGAGGCCCTCATTTGACAGTCAGTGCCTTAGAATAAAAACAAGGGTGTCAGGGGCAGAAGAAGCCCTGAAATTGGGGACCTCCCCCATCCCAGGGGCCCCACTGAATGGGAACAGGCCTTTCAAGATGGCCACTCCAGGCAGACTGTGTTAGCCATGTTTTTAGTCCGCCATGTTGGAAGGAAGCCAAGAGGCAGGTCCTGAGGGAGTATGGGCAAGGAATGGGAAATGGGGTGGAGGGGACAGAAGGGGCTGAGGGCAATGGGAGGCAGGCATTTCAGAAAGACCATTCTGACTGGTCTGGCTGGTTGTAATGTAAGCGATCTAGACAAAGCCCTTTCTCAGAACTCCTTTCTCTCAGGAGACCCGCTAGGGCCGGGAGCCACATCTCTGGCCAACAATGGTAAGACATGGAGAAAAACCATGAGAGAACCAAAGAAGAAAGGACAAAATGGAGGGAAGGAGAAAAAAAAATCATCCCAACACAAAACCCCATATTCCTGCCTGAGATTCAAGCTTTGTTGCAATGGGCAAATGTTCTAGAAGGTTCTAGTCCTATCACAGAACCCCCTAAGCCCAGTTCCTGGTTCTACTGCGGGAAACAGAAGTGGATTCTGCATCAGTGGGTTTTTCTTTTTATTATTTTTTACAAAAATAAATTGATTTTTAAAGGAATTTCTCTGCTTTTTTTCTTTTTTTTGTAATAATCACTTTTTTGTCTTTTTAATTTTCCATAGAAGTTGGTTGCAACTTGTAAACATGTTTTTAAATTAAGAATTCAGATAAAGTGTAGTACCCGTTCCATCACAAAGTGCTAAGACTTCAAACGTGGTTGGTTTTTTTGTCTTTTTCTACTTTTTTTCTTCCATTTTATAAATTTTTTTTTTACTTATTGCTTTCACTGCATCAAACATCTCCACTCTCTCTCCTCCCCCTCCCCCCACCTGCCTGGCCCTGGTCCTGGCACCAGCTGCCCTGACTACCCTGCCTCCCCCCTCCATCCTCTCTCTGCCGACATTCACCCTGTGCTGCCTCTCTGGAAAGGTGTTTTAAAAATAATCTAAAAAGTGCTTTTTGAGGGAAAGGGCTTTTAATCTCCAAACATCTCTTTCCCCAAGGGGGGCTGGCAAGGCCACACAGGCTGTTAAGTGGCCCCCCCACCTCCCCGGGCAGGGTGAGATGACGGGGTCCCTGATACGGCTCACCCTGGCCGGGCGGGAGGGGGAGGGGATGTCTGCAGAGATGGAGAGGAAGCCCACAGAGCAGGGACTCACACTAAGTAATTAAGTGCAGAGGCAGGAGGGAGGGAGGGTCCCCTCAGTGTACCCCACTCTGTTTCCCCAGTCCCCCCCATCCCTAGACCTCCTCTTCTCCTTTATTAGCCCAAGAAAATAAATATATTTGGGTTTCAAAGGCCAGGAGAGAGGGGGCCCAAGTAGGCATCTAGGAGCCATGACCCCCATTCTCAGCCTCCCCCACACCCCAGGAGAGTAAAAGCAGGAGTTGGGGGGAGGGAGGAAGGGTGGTTTTGGGGAATAGGAAAGTTGTGCGAGGGAGGGGGTGGGGACAACCCCCAATAAGTGCCCTGAGGAAAGGGGAGGGGTCAGCGGTGTGCAGAGCAAGGTCAAGGAGCAAGGGGAGGAAGGGGCTATTTTAACGTCCACTAGTAGTGGACGGACATCTTTTAAGGTCTTGTCTGAAAGACTCAGGAAGAAGGACCCCCCACCATTCCCCACCACCCCTCATGACATTACTTGTGGGGAAGGGGTGTGGGAGGGAACCAACCAACCAGTGAAAAATAAAAACCCAACTGTCAATCACCCCCACCCCACCTTGAACCCTCCAGAGCCCAACCAGGCCCAAATCAAGTCCTAGAGTTGGGGCCTGGAGCCTGCCACCAATGCCACCATGAAAATGGCCTTGGATGGGCCAAAATCCAGATCCCTGGGTCCCCTCCCAGTGGAGAGGGGGGATGGCAGGCCTAGAAAGTCTTCTTCTAAAAAATCATGGGGTCCTGGAAGGGAAGGGGATTGGAAGGGGGAGGGAGAAAACATCATTAAAGAGAAAATCGGAGGACAGAACTAACTAGATTTTGTGACGCTTCATATATATATATGTCTATATATATATATGTATATAGAGAGATCTGTATATAGATAGAATTTTTCTGTGTGTTTTTGGTTTTAGGAGAGTCCGGCCGTTAAGTTACCGTCAGCTGACCCTCCCGCTACATTCAACCTGCCCGGGGCCTCAGGCTGGGGCTGCTCTTCTTCCTCATCCTCTTCCTCTTCCTCCTTAAAGTGCTTCTCGGGCCGGTGGCGCCGGCCGTCCTGGGCCACTGGTGCAGGGGCTGGAGCAGCCCCCGCCCCCGAGTCGCGCACCCGGGGCTTCCGGCCTCGGCGGGAGGGGATTCCGTTGCAGCCGTCCTTCTTGAGGTGCCTGTGCAAGTGGTCGGAGCGGACGAAAGTCTTGAAGCAGCTCTCACACTGGTAGGGCCGCAGGCCCGTGTGCACCCGCATGTGGTTCTTCAAGTCGTAGTTGTGGGCAAAGGCAGCCCCACACTGCTGGCACAGATAGGGCTTCTCACCTGTGTGCTTCCTCATGTGCACCTTCAGCTTGTCCTGCCTGCAGGGGGCAAAGACAAGGGCTCAGCGGGCGCACAGAAGTCCCCTCGAAGGCTCTGACTACAACCCAGGCACCACCGGCCCCTCCAACACCCAGCAACAAAGAGGCTCAGGAGGGGAGCGGGCTGCCCCACTATGGCTCCTCTTCTGCCCAGACTCTGCTCCCCAAATTCCAAGCAGGGACCAATTCTAGGAGCACAGATTTAGAGCTGAGGAGACCACCGAGCTGAGCTTCTAAAACGAAGTCATTTTAGAGATAAGGAAATGGAGTCTTTGAACAGGGCAGAGCCTTGCCCCAGGTCACAGATGGTGACAGAGTAAGTGACTGAGGCAGACATGAGCCTACCGCTCTCTGAACTAAGCCATGGCGAGTGACTCACTCTACAGAGAAAGAGGCTCTAAGGGAGCCCCCTTCCTGCCCCCACCCACCCAAGGCCTCTGAGCAAAGGCACAGGATGGGGTCTGCAGCTCCAGAATGGGCCAGAGGGCCGGAATATAGCCAGGCCCATTCACCAGGACCAAATAATCTCCTCTTTCCTTCACACTGAATAAGGAAAGTTTGGGCGGCTTTTGGGGGGTTCTTGCCACACCTGGAGCTGCCTAGGACCCAGCCGCCTTCCAGGGGAAAACCTCCAAGCAGAAAGGAGATTAAAAAGAAGGCTCTCCAAAGGGGCTTTGCCCACCCTCATAAGGAAAAGGAGGTTCTGCAGGTGCCCTTTCCCTTTCCAGAGCTGCTTAGAAACTTCCTGCCCACCTTTCTCCAAACTTTACATAGGTATGAGACAAAAGGTTACTGTATTTTGGGAGGATGGCACCCAGGTTCTCAGATCTAAAGCTGAAAGGGGCCACAGAGTCCCCCTAGTCCAATCCTTAATTTACCAAGGAAAAAATAATGAAGTATACCCTCTGACCCCAAACCATGCTTGGACAGCTGCCTCTTTCCTGTTCAGAGCTCACTGAGGCCTCTAGGCAGAGATAGGGGATGGGAGTATCAGGCCCCATTCCACAGGGAGACCAAGGTGTGAACAAAGCCCTTCAGTGAAGGGCCTTCCTGTTCCCAAGCACGATACCTAGAAGCCAACAGCACCAGGGGGACCTGGGATCTCCCCTACATTGCTCCATCCAGGGCCCTCCTTCCCAGAAGGGCAGCGTCTGGTTCACTGCTGTCTTTCTCCAGTGCCTGGCACCCTGAAAGTGCTCAACGCCTACTGGTTGACTGATTGACTGACTCTCAGGGATCCCACCCCTTCTCCAGTTCTGTGTGCTGTTGTACAATCCAGAGACAAGCAGCAGCAGCAGTAGCATCAACATTGCTTCTGCACAATCTAAGTGGATTTAGTCCACTTTCCTATTTACTGACTCATCTGATCCTCACAATACCTCTGAGAGGGAGGCTGAGAAGGGCTAATACAATGGGGAAACTGAGGCTGAGAAAGAGAAAATAACTTGCTCAAGGTGACCCCACTAGAACCAAGGTCTGCATGAGGAAGCTCCTGCCTCTCCCAAGTCAGCTGGCAGGCAGAGCCCTAGGTCCTCCCCACGGCTCCCCTCAGCCAGAAGCTCCCAGGAACCTTGCTTGGGAGGGGCAGGGTCCCTGCCTGGCCTTCTCACAGCTGCCCTTGGTAAGCTGGGACTGGAGGTGGGAGGCAGTGGGTTTCCTAACCCTTTGGTGATGATGGTATAATTATGGCCCAGTCTCTGCCACAGGCCCCTGTCTTACTCAATGTGCCTGGTGACTCACTGGGGGCCCCTGCTGACTCCTGGTCCTATGAGAGGGTGGGAAGGAGGGGACTAGTTAAGGGGGTTGCCTGGGGCTGGGGCAGGTGAGGAGGCCTCAAGCCCCTGGCCAGAAGAAGAAAAAGGCTGCCCAGGGTTGGGGAGGTGGGAAACCCAGGGCAGTCCCAGCTCCAAATGCTTAAAAAGGTCGCAGAGCACCAGGGGCTGCCTGGGAGCCACAGCCCGAGGGGCCAATGTGGGGCTCACTAAAGACCAGGTTCCTGCTCTGCCCGGGGATGGGGCCCAGGAGTGGGAGACCAGAATTCCAGGCAAAGAAAAAGGTGCTCTGCAATGCTCCACAGTCAGAGGCCCTGGGCTTGAACCCAGACAATGCTGCTCCCCAAGGTGACCAGGGACAAACGACTTCCCCTCATGGGCTTCAGTTTCCCCATAACTGACATGGGGCTAATAATAATTCATGTTTTCCTAGTCTTTCTTTTGACGTCTTGCAAAGCTTTCTTCACAGCAAGCAGTACATATATTGTCCCCATTCTACTGATGAGGAAATGAGGCCAAAAGGGGACGTGAGCTGCTCCAGGTGACAGGCCTGGCCCCTGGCTCTGGGCCCACAGTCTTCACCCCTCCTTTCCTTCACACGGGATAAGAAAGATCCCCAGACACAGGTAAGTGAAGGCACCAGGGACCCTCCTAGGAGAGTCACCCCTCACCCACTCCCACCTGCAGCAGAGCTGCCTTTGATTCAAAGTGAAACTGAGCTGTGGGCTAGGGGAAGTCCCCAGTGGGCCCCCAGGGACACAGGGGCCAACAAAGACCAGGGCAGGGGGCACTCAGGACCCACAGCCCAGGGCCATCTACAGTGGGGGGAAGTTGGCATGTCTACTTTTCACTGGCATCTTGAGGCTTCAGAGCAGAATGCTGGCCTGAGGTTGCATCACCTGTAAAATCTCCCTTTGGATTTTGCTTGGTTGGGAGTCAAAGGATCTAGGTTCAAAGCCTGACTCTTATTAGCTGTATAGCCCTGAACATAGATAGATAGATAGATAGATAGATAGATAGATAGATAGATACAGATATATAGATATATACACACATACGTATATATATGCATGTATGTGTATATGTATGCGTGCGTGTGTGTGTGTGTGTGTGTGTGTGTGTATCCCTTTCCCTCCCTGGACCTCAGTTTCTTCATGTATAAAATGGGGAGAATAACACACACATACATACTATACCTGTAGCTACACTGTCCCACTGACAGAACTGTGGTAAAGAAAGTGCTTCTAGACCTTATGGATTACTACTGGTGCCTCAGCAGGCTTCCCCTGCCTCCCGGCCCTCTGAGGTGGCTCCCCATCCCTAGCTCTCAGCCCTCAGGGATCACTCCCTTCTCTCAGCATTTCCAGTCCTGCCTGCCAGAGTCATCTGGACCTTGACTTTCTCTGTGGCCTCTGGGTGGATCCGTTCCTTCCCTGGCTGGACGATCTCTCACCACATGAAGGCAAGCCCAAATCCGAACACCCCAGGAGGGCTCAGGAACGAACTACACGCTGGTCAGGCTTGGACTACCCTCCCCGGCCCTCGGGATGTTGGCTTTTGCTTCTCCTTGTATGACTCTGACAAGAGCAGCACCTACCAGACCATTCTTCTCTCTGATTTTAGGGGTGAAAGGACCTCAGATGTAACCTAGGTCAACCCCCTCATTGGACAGAAGAGGGAAATGAGAGCCAAGGAAAGGGAGCACTCCACTTGAGGTCACCCTGGGCCTAGACCAGCAGGGGCCAGACTAGAACCTGGGCTTCCTGCCTCTCTCTGTTTGGACTCTCTCCACCACCCTGAGCTGGCTCTCGGGGCAGAACTGACATTCCAGGCCTCTTGAGCGGGACACACCCCTACTTGTCTACTAGCGTATGGTGAGGGGGTTCTCTGGCAGAGATGGCAAACAACCTTGCTCACCTCCTATCCTTTCCAGGCTTTCTGTGTGGGGAATGAAGGTTCCTCCTACAGCTGGGGAGGGGGCCGGCCACGGGCGCAGGGAGGACCCACAGAAAACCTGGGACAATAGCATTTTTCTTCAAAATTTTCACACTGGGTGGGGCTGGGGGAACCCCAGGCTGGGCCCAAGGGAGAGCTGAGTCACTGGCCCCAAAGTGGGGGGTAGGGGGGAGGTTGGTGGGAGGAGGAACTCTTAGGGAAACAGAAAGGCCAGGAAGGGGTGGTGGCAAAACCCAGCTGGGCCTTGCTGAGGGAAAGCAGGAGGGAGTAAGCTTTCCTTTGGCCCAGGAGACAGATCCTCTTGCTGGCCTGGCCTATCTCTTCCCCTCTTCTCTTCCTCCCTTTCTGGCTCTTCCTGATCAGGGCAGAATACCCTGGACTCCAGACCTCTATCTCCTTTCTGAGGCCCAGTGACCCCAGCTCTTCTCAGGCGCTCTTCCCCAGAGGCCTCAGCATCTAAGCTCCGGTTCCATGCAGAAATCCAAAAAATCACATACAGAATGTCCGAGCCGGAAGGGGGCTGTGAGATCACCTCCCACAGGAGAAAACAGACCCACAGAGCTGGGAGGTAGTAGAGACAGGATCTGAACCCCATTAGCTTGGCTGCCAGTCTAGAGATCTTTGCTTTGCTCTGCTCAATGTACAGCCTCCCTCCCTCTCCTAGAGCAGCCCTGACTGGTCATCATGAACCCCTGCAAGGAAGAGCCCCACCCAGACAGTCCTGTTCCTTTTCCAACTCCCCCATTCCCTATCAGATCCCCTTCTTCGTCCCTGGAGCTCAGACCCCTACCCCAGGGAGCAGGCCCTGGCACCTCACCTGGTAAATCGGACTTTGCAGATGTTACACTCATAGGGCTTTTCACCAGTGTGGGTACGAATGTGACGGGGCAGCTTGCCTGCCCCCTGGATCACCTTCTCACAGATGGGGCACTTCTGGAATGCTTTGGCCCTGATCTTCTTCTCCACCTTCTGGGACCATGACGGGTAGACATCGCCCTCATGGGAGCCACTGAAATACTTCAAGTAATAATCCATGACACCCTCGTCCTCCTTGCGCTGATCTTCCTCACTGCCCCCACCACCAGCCTGCCGCCCCACCGAGGTGATCATCTGTTGCAGCAGGGCACTGGCAGCCAGCCCATCCACCTCTGCCCCATCGCCGTCCTCCCCATCAGCCGTCCCCGACACGAGGCCAGGGGAGTCCCCTGGCTCTGGCGCCTCTGAAAGGGAGGCAGCTTCCTCCTCACCCCCAGCACCACCACCACGGCCTCCATAGTGCCCATTCTGTGAGGAGGGAAAGAGGCTGGCCCCTGAGGCTGCCTCCTCATCACGGTCAGGCCACAGGCCCTGACTGCTGTCTGGGTCACCATCATTGGCCTTTGGTCGCTCACCCTGGGCATAGAAGTCCAGACCATTGCATTCACCACCAGCGGCTGCCGTGGCTGCTGCAGCTGCCGCCGCCGCCACTGCCGCCGCCGCCGCCTCCTCATCCTCCTCGTCCTCCGGGCCGGCAAAGTTGGGGTTGGTCCACGGGAAGTTGTTGGGGAGGCTGTTGATGGGGTTGCTCTGGAAGAATTCAAGGTACTCCTTGGCTCTGAGGTGGTTCCGCTGATCAATTTGATCTACTAAATCCATCTGGTCATTCTTGGCCAGAATTTGGCGGTCCAGGAGGTCGGCACAAACGTCACTGACGGCCGGGATCTCCAGCAGGCGAGCAGCGTTGAGGATGTCACTGACATTGGATGTGCTGACGGTGAGGGTTGCTGTGTAGGCAAAGTCCACCAGGGCGGTGAGGGCTTCTGCGCTCACAAAGTCGATCTCATAGACATTCTGCTGGTCCACCACAGCACCGATGTGAAAAGCTTCTTGAAGTATTGGCTGCAGGCAGCCAGTACAGAGCGGTGTGTGGGGAACTCTCGGCCCTCCACCAGGATGACCACGTCACACAGTAGGCCGTGGGTCCTCTGTTCATTCAGGCTGCTCAGAATGTCGCTGCTGTGGTCAGGGAAGGGGATCCCAATGGGGCCGTCCACACCACCAGCCATCTTCCACGCCAAGATCTGGACAGGGCGGGGGAAAGGGGGAGAATGAAGCCGTGCCCATGGAGCAAGGTCGGCCGCCACCCACCACCCCCAACCACCAGCTTCCCCGCTTCCACCCTTCAGGAAGAGCAGAACAGGGCGGCCAGTTTTACTTGAGCCAAGCCCGGTTCCTCAATGACCCCCATATCCAATAGGTCCATGGCCACTCCCTCTGCCTGCCTGCTCTGCCCTCTCAGGCTTCTATTACCCTCCTCAGCAAATGAGCTCCTTCAGGGCCCAGCTTATCCAGGAAGCTTCTTCTGGTGCTCAGACCCCCCCAGTTCCCTCCTCAGAACCCTCATGGCCCCTGACAAGCTCTTCTCTGTTAAGTCTCTTGCGCCAACTAGACCAATAAAAATACTCTTATCTATTCCTACCCCTCAAGTCCCTAGCACTAGGCTGAGGACATGAGAGCTACTGGTTACTCAACTAAATGTCTCCTTCAGTAAGAACGAAGCAAAGCTGTAGAGGGTCCCCTCCATTTAAGAGCAAAGGGTCTGGCCTAGGGAAAATGGAGGGAACTGTAGGGCCACACCCCTTTAGAGATGAGTCAGAGGGACAGGGAGGGGCTGAGTTATGGCAGACCCACTGAGACCCAAACCCAGACTTCCAGTCACGTCAGGGCCCAGCCAGAGGCAAGATAACAAGGAGGAGCAACGGAAGAAACATTAAAGACCACATGAGACCAACCAGAGACTTAGGGAGAGGAAGTGACCCGAGCAGGGGCACAAAGCAAGTCAGACATGGAGCTGAGACTAAAATAATAAGTTAGGGGGCTTTTAGGCCTACAAATGCTTTCCTCAAAAAAGCCCTGGAGTACATAGTACAAAGTTATTTTCCTCATTTTACAGGTGAACTTTGAACAAGGTGAATATCAGTGAGTTCACTGACTCACCCAGAGTCATAAAGCTAGAAAAGGAAGGAGTCAAGACTTGCACTCAGGACTTCTGACTTCATTGCAGAGCTCTCTTTCCATTATCTCTAAGAGAGAAAGTCAAGTGGGGAAGCGTTAATGAAGGTAACCTTCCTCTCTCCATCCCCATCCCACAGTGGGAGTGCAGGGTTCAGAGCCCCAGCTTCCAGCAGAGGAAATGAAAGAATAAGCCAAGCCCAATGGGGGGCCGGGGTGGGGGTAAGAGACAGGACAACTGGGCCCCAGAATCCAAGTTAGAAGACATTGAGGTAGCTCATCCAGGAGATAGCCACAAGCTGGACCCTGGAGCTCAGTACCCATTCTGGAAAAACCTTGCTACTACCAATATGGGCCCTACGATATCTAGGGACTGAGCAGCTGCTGAATACAGTGGAGCTTCTCTGAGCCTGCTGGGGTCTGGGGTGAGAAGCCAGGATAGGAAGGAAGTGGTGGGCACAAAGTCGTCATGATACCGGAGTAATGGTTCCTTCTCTGCCGCCCAGGAGGCAGCCTATTGCCTGGATCCCAATGTCTACTATACAATTTTCCCTTAAAACTGGGGCTTCCTAGGACCTGTCAACACACACACACAGAGTGTCACAGGTGACACTGCCTCAGTAACCATACAGGATAAACTTGCTGCTTTCTGGATGCAAAGAGCCCCTGAGGACACGGTGCTGGGCCCTCCCTGTGAGTAATCATGGGGAAATCAGGCTATTTGCCATGTGGAACTCCCCGATAGGGCCCTTCCCACCACGAAAGTCTCCCCTAAAGAGAAGCAGGTTCTGACCCTGCCCCCCATCTCAAACTCCACTTGGCTAGGGCCTCAGGAAAGGTCAGTTCTTGAAGGGCTAGAATTGCATGGGCTGTAGGGCAGTAGGGTAGAAAGTGACCCAGCCAAGAAGTTTGATGTGGGTGCTAAAGTCCTGGCTCTGGCACTGACTTGCTGTGTAACCTCAGGTACGGCCCTGCCCCCCTGTGCGCCTGTTTCCTTCTCTTTAACATGAAGTGATGGAACTAGATGATCCCTAAGGTTCCTGCCAGCTTTCAGGTTCTCAGTTTTAGTCTCTCCCATTTGGTTCCCTGGGTTCCCTAGAATTTGGTCTTTTTCTCTCCCCCTCCCTCTTTCTTTCTTTCCTCTCTACTTTTTCCAGTATGGTCATGACTCATCCACCCACCCACCCAGCTCCCTTCCCTCAGGAATCTCACCCAGAGCTGGGGGAGAGTGAGAAGGCCCTGTCCCCTCCCGCCTCCCCAAGGGCCCTGCCAACTCTCCTCCCCTTAACCAGCAGGAAAGGGCGGAGCCATTTCTACTTTCAGGCTGCAAGGACCCCCAATCTTCCCTTCCAAAGAGAAGGCACAGGCCCTGAGCAGTTTTGTCTCTTGTGTCAGGACCCAAGGCCTGGAGTTGGTTATTCTCCTCCCTAACACTGTCAAGAGCCGATGGGGTCCAGGATGGCTCCTGGGCCCCCAGGCCTAGCACTGCCCAACTTGGCACCAGGAAGTTCATCCTAGGATCCAACTTGGAGCCCTCAAGCAACGGCTTTCAAATCCCCCAGAGGTAAGAAGCCTGGTACTAGGAGCTCCCAGAAGGAATACAAGACCAGAGGAGGGAGAGGCTGGGCAGGTGAGTCCCCCCCTCCACAAAAAGTATTCTGCAGCTCACAAGTTAATGTATGTAAACTGATTTGCAAACCTTAAAGCAGTACATAAATGTCGGTTACTGTTATTTGCAGTAGCTACAGCTCAGCTAAGGAGGGGAAGTAGGGGCAGTGGGGGCCCGCAGAGAGGGGACGGCCAGCTAGTCAGCAGGTCACGAGGGCTCTGCCCTGCCTGGCCCTGCCCAGCAGCTCAGGCAGATGCACAGAGTGCCTTTGTGCCGGCTGGCCTCCTGTGAGCCTCAGAATAGTCAAGATGGGAGACTACACTTCCCAGGAGTCCTTTCCTCTACTGTCTCCCCCCCTCTGTCCCTGCTGTCTCATCCTGGATATTTATGAAGGCTGCCTGGTCCTTTCTACTCCCCTCCCATTCAGTTCCAGCTTCCCCCTCTCCCCACATATATAATCGGAAGGGGGGAGGAGGGGAGATGGCAATTTGCTGCAAGGCTGCTTGGGGGCAGGGGTGAGAGAATCTGAGAGGGTAGAGGACAGTGGCGGGCAGGGTGTGTGTGTGCTAGCTCAACCCCAGATTCCAGGCCAGAGAGAATCACAGGATCTAGTTGTTGGAAAGGACCTCAGAAGCCAGCAATTCCTTCATTCTACAGATGGGGAAACTGAGACAGAGAGAAGGGAAGAGCTTTGCAAGATCATATAGCACACTAGCAGAGGGCAGGGGAGGGGGATCTGCAGCTGGCACCACTTTCAGTGATCCTAACAACGCTGAGTCTCCCCTCCACCCCAGGCTATACCTTTAGGTCAGAGTGGGGGAAGATAGGCCCAGCAGTTTGGCAGGCCTGCCCAAAAGTCATGAAAGGCTGAGAGCTCCACAAACCCTCCTTCTCAAGCTAAGCTCCCTGCTAATCTCCTCAACTGTGGGGCAGTGGGACAAATGCTGGACCTGGAATCAGGAGACCTCAGCTCCCACTGCTGCTGAGATGATGATGCATCTCATTGTGCTTCTCTGTAAAACAGGGCCATTACAACCCGAACGACTCACCTGCCCCACCAGAGTCGGGAGCAAAGGGATCTGCAGGTCTAAATGCACAAGACGAACGTGGCTCCGTCCCTGGATTACCCATACTTGCCGGCCTTGCTCCAGTCGCTTCTTGCTACTCTGCCCTGACCCTCCAGCCTCTTCTTTCTGCCTCTCCCTTCCCTCCCCCTCCTCAGTGCTGCACTAGCCCAGGGCGCAGGAAGCAACGAGCAGCCGAGCACAGCCGTCTGGAGCTGTTCTAAGGCCTCAGACTCCGCCTCACATGCTGATGATGTTCATGCGGATGAAGCATTGTCCTATCCATTACCCCACTAGGTCTTCCTCCCATCAGTCCTTGGGATGAGAAGAAGGTGATGGCTATTATTCCCATTTTACAGATGAGGGAAGTGAGGCTTAGAGAAGGAAAAGGGATCTTCGCCCAAGGGAACACAGCTATCAGTTTGGGACTCCTTCCCTTGCTTCAGGCCACTGTCTTGATTCTGTCACCCTCACGGGTACCTCGATTAGACTAGACACTCAGCAGGGCACAGTAAAGACTTTCTGATTGATGAGAAATGGGGGACTGTCTAGTATTCAGAAAAGAAAAAAGGCAGAAGCGTGTAGTCCTCCCCTCCCTGGTCCACCATTCCGGACCAGGGTACCAGAGTACCCTGCGGACACTCACCCCAAGGGGTCACCTCCAGTCAACTGTTGGTTATCCAGCAAATGCCTGATCATTGGCTTGGGCTTCCCCAGTGAAGCTCAACTGCCTGACAACCTTGCTCTAGATGACCTCAGTTTGTCAAATGCTACCCACCCCAACTTCAAACCCCTAACCCCCAATCCCACTGCCCAGAGCAGCCCAGGAGACCAGACTGGACTTCTGGCTCTGCCTCTGAGAAGCCACGCAACACTGGACAAGGTACCGGCCCTCCCTGATTATTTCCCCATCTGCAAAATAGTCATTATCATGAGAGACCAGACAGGACATCTCTCTATCTCTGTCTGTCTCTCTGTCTTTGTCTCTCAACTCTAAAGGGTTTTACAGATCCACAGAATGTGAAGGATTATCACGAGAGGATCATAGAATGATAGAGGCAGAAGGAAACTTACGAGATGTCCGACTCTCTCTTTTTACAAAGGAGGAAACTGAGGCCCAGAGAAGGGAAGTCGCCTGCCCGCAGTCACACTGATATTTGAAGCTGGGTCCTCTGACTCTACATCTAGGGCTTTTTCTTTTCTTTTCCTCTCCCTTCAGTAAGTGTCCAGCCAGGGAGGAGCTCTCAGGCCACCTCTCCCTCCAAGCAGGCTCTCTACTTTCAGGCCACCCACCCACTGCCCTGTGCCCCTGTCTACAAAGACGGCAGAGTACTGTGTGAAGCAGGCCGGCTCTGGAAGCTCTGGGGCCTACACAACAGTCCTGCTGTTTGCACTG